ATCTATCTATCTATCTATCTATCTATCTATCTATCTATCTATCTATCTATCTATCTATCTATCTATCTATCTATCTAGTCTATCTATATCAAATTGTTTCACATTAATCTATAAAAGTATTATAAATAAGGTCTGAAAGAGAGAAAGAGGAACCACAATGCTCACCCCTTATAATCACATGTAAAAATTGTTTGTGATAGGCATGCTACAATATCTGAATAATTTCAATATGTTTTTTCCATGCCTCAGAAAAAGAACAAAAGGGCTTTAAAAGAAATAAATGTAATGAATCAAGCCAGAGTGGTATTGTAAGTTTAATTCTACGATACTGCAATAGCAGCCTATATGTATAGTAAGCTTTAAAAGAGACAACTCAGGATCACAATCTGTATTCTTGGCAGTCATAAAAGAGAGAGGAGTAAAAAGATGAAAGGAACAAAGGATAAATGAGCCTTCTGTAATTAATGATGGGTAAATGTCAACCACACTTTCACTTTAATATATATCCCTAATGAGGAAGGCAATCGTAATACAACATGGCTCCCTGTTAAATAACCAAAGGTTCTTGACAGTTGTTCTTAAAACCTGCATCACGACAACATTCTCAGCCAGTGTCCATAGTCATTGCTAAGAATCCATATAAATGGCCTTTAATTTCTATTGCTGGTGAAAATTTCTGATTTTCAGGTCTGTATCAGTAGAAGAAATAAAGACCTGAAGGATTGGAATGAGGCAAAAAATTATTCATTGCCAAACATTTCTTAGATTATTTTTTAAAAAAAAAAACCTGCATAAAACAATATTCATACAATGAGGACTTGCATGAAAGAAGATGGTAAATTAAAGGTGGGAGAAGGATGGATGTCATAACTGTTTCATTGTCGTAGAAAGAATCTCAAATACAGCTGGCATTAGGAGCCACTTCTAAGCAAAAACTATGGACACCATGACTGCGTCATTGTGGGAATGCTTGCAGGGCAAACCAGGAACTGGACTGGATGTCCCGTCCCCCCCCCCCCCAGGTAAGAGGCAACCTTCATTCCGCCATCCCTCTCAAATGCCTTATGTCGGTAGCTGAAATTTTCACAAGCCTGAACAGCATCAGCATTATTTCATTCCACAAAATCTTAAGATGAAGGACTCCATATTGGATGGCATACATTGCCTTTCCTGTCAGATTGAAAACCAGGATTCGAACCACTAAGGGGGGGGGGGGGAAATCCCTCCATCTGAGTTCAGCCATAGGAACAAAGAAACATATTCACCGGTGCGCAATACCAATACCTCAACCCTGAATTTTCTGTTTGTTCTCCACCATTCCTATCCACAACTGGGCCACTATTTTCTTTTTATCCATACACATCCTCCTCCATTTTTTTGGTATCAGGTCTGAAATTTGGGGCTCAGCTTTGAGTTAATTTTAGGCCCAGATAAACAGAAACACTACCCAAGGTATCAAAACTTATGGTGACAAGAAAGAGCAAACATACCAACCGCAAGCTTGAAGCGAAAAGGACCATCTTCTACACAGGTATTAACATGCACAGAAACTCATACTCCCCACCTACATATGCACATAAGGGGTGGAAATATAGGAAAGGAACGAGCCAACTTTCCCTAAGTACAATACAAGTATACAGCTACATTTATACCAAAAGGCCTAACATCATACAAGTATACGGCATTTGAAACCTTACTATTAAAACAAAGGACACTGGCTAAGAAGGGTAAAGTGGAAATAGGAAAAGATGGGCCTTTTTTCCATATCTTCAGACATAAGGACCCTCATGTCCCAGGCCCTGGAATACCTCCAAATTCTTGATATGGTGAACCCATTTATTGAAATGGCTGGGATAGGATACAATGGAGAGAATAGATCCCATTTGACGGCTGAAATGAATTTGAAGAAACCATCAGGGCAACTACCAGTGTGCATTCAATGAATCACACCCACACCCAGATTTTCCTCTCCCTACCACCCACCCACCCACCCCTTAAATGCTTCATTTCCAAAAGTCCAACCACATGCCCAAAACCATCCCTCAGGAGATAACCTGGCCTAGATATGACAGATCACCTGCCACACTCCAGGGATGACCCAACCATCTCTAGCAGGCATTCCCAGGCTGGAATCCCTCGCCTAATTCACCTGCCCCGCTCAACCCCTCCCCAGGCGGTGGCAGACAAATCGGCTCCCCCCTACCTTGCTCCTCGCTGCCCCCCAATTGGGTTTTGGGTTCCTCCTCAGGGAGGCCGGATCCGCCTCCCTCGGGAGTTTTGCGTTTCTTCGACATCTGGGCAGTGTCGGGGAGTGGGATTTGCTTCCCCCAATCCCCTCCAAGGAAGCGACGGAGGGGGAAAAAGGAGGAAAGAGCGAGGCAGAGACGGAGAGAGAGAGAGAGAAAGAGGAAGAGGGAGGTGCACGCACCGCCGCGGACTAAAGAGAGCGGCTGCTTAAAAAGAGGGGAAGAGACTTTGGAGTGGCTGGAGAGCAAGGAGGAGGCAGGGACTAAGTGGCGAAATCCTACAAATCACAATCCCATCCGCGCAGCCCGGCGTCTGAGGCGGGTTGCCTGGCTATTGGCGCGGCCCCCACCTCCCGCTACTCAGCCAACTGGGAGATGGACGTGTGGAACGAAGAGCGCGGGACCCTTTGCAGCGGGGTGGGGGGAGTTAGGGGGCCCTTAAATCGCAGGATTTTCTAACGACAGAGAGGGTGGGATTTCCCTCCCTCCCCCTCCCGGGGGGGGAGATGGGGGAGAGCTGGAGGCTTTCGAAAAGAGCCATTTGTCTAAAACGGCTTAGGGTCTCCCGCTCGGGCAGGGGGTTGGACTAGAAGACCTCCGAGGTCCCTTTCAGCGCTATTATTTTATGTTCTGGGTAAACGCTAAATGCGATCCGGAGCAAGAGCCCCGGAGGGGGCCTTTGCACTTCAGAGAGCGACATCCTCCCCCCCACCCTGGGGCTGGAAGTCCAGTTAGTGGAGTTCACGCAGAGGCTGCGGGGAAGAGGGGAGACTTCTGACAACCACTCTATCCCCTGACTTTTTTGACGCCGGGGAGAGCGGGGGCAGGCAGGTTCCAGGAAGGTGGAGTGCTCTACCCCTCGGACCCGGGAGCTGCTGGCTAAACTGCTATCCGAAGCGGGGCGCTCGCGAAAGGCTCTCCAGCAGCCCCCGGATCTAGGGATTTTTCCGAATCAGCGAGGAGCCGGTTCCCGCGGAACTCAAAATGAGGTCCCAGTTTTACACGTGCGCACACTCGCAACGCCCACACTCTCTGTAACCTTTTGTGTGCCGGCCTGTGTATACCAACACACGGCAATCTCGCTGGTTTTCCCCAGGCTAATCCGCTTCTCCGCGAACCCCTCTGCCTGTCAAGCCTTCTTTCCGGATGATTTTACTTTGCGGTTTTCCTAAGGCTGATGCTTCTTTCCCGCCCCGTAGCAACTTACCCCCAAAGCTACGCAGCGACCTGGATCCCGCTCTTTCGCCTTCAAGGCAATTTGGAGAGAAAGGAGATGCTCGGCTGTCCGGTCCTGAAGACTGAGGGGAGCGAGATCGGGGAAGGAAGGGGATACACACCCTACGAAGTGGCTTGAGGTTAGGCTCTCTCGGGAGTCCCAAATCCAGTCTCTGCTGGTGCCACCAGTGAAAGTAAGAAGCGCCGCCGCCAAAAATAAGTATTCCCTTCTCCCCATCCCGCCCCGTTCCTGTCGAAGATGCTGCGCGCCCAGCAAGCCTGATTTCGAACCAAACAGCCAGAAATCATTTGGAGCCTCTTCTGGTCCGATTTCTCTAATCAGTCTGTAAGGCGCGTGCAAGTTGACTCCCCTGTGGGTGCCCACTGTCGGACCCTTCATTATTAGAGCCTCATCCTCCTCATCCTCCTCATCCTTTTTCTCCCTCTCCTCCTCCTTTTTCTCCTCCTTTTTCTCCTTCTCCTTGTCCTTCTTCTCCTTCTTCTTCTTCTTCCTTCTAGCCCTGAAGCAGCTGGGCAGAAAATCAATTCGGCAAGATAGAGCTGGTGGCGCAGAGGATCAATTGGAGAAAGAGAGCGAAAGAGAGACCGGCTGCTGGGAAGTTACAGAGTTTTCCTTCGGCGAAAAGGGGGCTGAGGGGTTGGCCGCCTCTCACGTCCAACAGGAGGCAATGACGTGTGTCGCTTCATTGCTATAACAGCGCCAAGGCAGCAATTGGCATTCAGTGAAATGATAAGGGCCGCTCAGACGTAAGCAGCCTGGACCTTTCAGCAAGAGACTTGGAAGACGATCTGCAACACAAACATACACTTCGCCCTTCCCAAAATGATGGTGGGGGGAAGGTTAAAAGGCGGGGCTGGAGGGAGGGGAGAGAGGGGGGGAGATTAGCGCCTCAGTTATCTGGAAACAAACCAATGTAGATTTCAGACTGCTGAAATTTACAAGTTTTCTCACTTTGGCTCCTTTTTTTTCTGGAAAGGGGATTCTAGAGAAATCACCCCAACCCCAAGAAGTTGTCTCTTTCTATCCGGAATTCCAACCCTTTTAATGGCCCCCACGAAGCAGGCTTCAATTTTCCCCAACCAGAAGTTAGAAGCCCCGTCCTTCCTATATAAACATCTCTTAGGAGAACTGTATTCCAAACCACCTGGGGAAATAACGGGAAGGCAACACGCCCGCAATGAAGACCAAAGCACCGAGCTGGCCGCTACACAAAAGCCCTTAGGACCAGCTCCAAGGGAGTTGGGACCGATTCCAGGATACTCCAGGGTAGAAAGGTGTTTCCGTCCCCACAAACGGCGCCGCTGCACCGGGAGCAAGAAGGAAGCAGAGATCCCTCGCGATCGTGAAGGGTGGCGTGTCAACGCCGTGACTGAGCACGCCTGACAAGAACAAAAGAGGACGCCTAAAAAAAAGACCACGACACCCTAAAGCCAAATCCTCGGATTCCTTGCAGGCAAAGTTCTTAAAACAAAACAAAAAACCACCCACCCACCTTAGCCAAAAAAAAAGTGGGGGACGCGATGTCCAAGGGGGTCAAACTCCCGCCCTTGTCCCCATTCCTACCGGAAGCATCATTGGGGATTTATTTATTTTTTTAGCTCAAAGAAACTGCCTGCCAACACAGCCCGCTGCTCCGGGATAGGATTTAGCTCGGATGCATCAGGCTGTATGTCCCGCGTTCCCATCGTACGCTGCGAAATGCACGCAAACAAACCACGCATTCTCAACCGCGATTAACACCCCGGTCTCGAAATAGCTAGCGCGGGAAGAATCGTTCCGCCCGCCTCCCGTTTAAAAATCGGTGTTCGTCCTGGGTCTCCGCGGTGAGCAACGCCTGCTGGCATGGGCGCTGCCTTCGCTGGGCCGAGAGCGAGGGGGAAGACACCGGTTTTGCAAAGCATTCCTGATTTGCACTGGAGCTCAGCTAGGAGACCAGGCTCCAGTTTGGACCTGGCGATTTAGGTAAAAGGCCCGGAGGAACTTGCTCCCTTTGCCCTGCACCCCATAGTTGCCTCTTAGCATTGAGGGTGTGAGGCAAATAAATAAAGAAATAAATAGAAATGGGTCTCTGGCTGGAAGAATATGGGTGCTGGGTCCTTCTCCTGGCTGAGAAGTCTGGAGTTATGCACAAACCACCTGGAGGGCACCCTACTGGGGAAAGTTGGTGTGAAGCCTGGGGGAGGGGGAGGCTTCTGATTTGCCAGATGTGGCAGGCCATAGTCTCACTAAACTCTGACCATTAGGGAGGTACCTTGGACAGGGCTAGTGGGAGCTGGAGTCCAACATCTAGCAGACCATCTAGCCCAGTGATGGCGAACCTTTTCCTCACTGAGTGCCAACACAGAAATGTTGTGGGCATGTACATATGCTCGTCAGGACCGCGCTCTGGAAAAGCCGAACTTCTGTGTTCTGGCACACATGCGCACCCAACAATCAACTGGCTGGTAACACATGCACACACCAGTTTTCGGCACTGCCGCACATGTGAAGGACAGCTGATTGTCATATGTGCATGCATGCCAGAAACCCAGAAGACAAACAGGCAAGGCCGTGCATGCCGGGTGACATGGCTTCCCATGCCACTTTGGGTATGTGTGCCATAGGTTCGCCATCACAGATCTAGCTTTTCCATCCACCATGTCAGAATATTCACCTGCCACCTTTCACAGTCACAGAAACGCTTTCCATGTCCCACTAGTGTTGGAAACAAGCAGACATGCCTGTACGTGAAGTGCCTGTGCCATTAACTGATAATGAAGCTATTATTAAAGAATGTAAAATGCAGAGGCCTGCAGGACAGTGCACACACCCAAACACAATATAATATACACCCATTAACTCTGAAATACATGTATTTATAAAGGAGAATATTTGTAGCTCAGGGTTGCCATGAAGAGTCCTTGGTGCTCTCTGAGCTTGCTTGTTTTCTTTGAGAAGTTTCATTACTCAAACTAGGTAATATCATCAGTGCTACCTAGCACCAAGGGCCCCTCATCTATTTATTTATAATATTCATTAAAAAGACACCTTTGTAACTTTGACAGTGCAGCTTGAGGCATGTCTATGCAGAAGTAAGACCAGGTGAACCCCAGATAAGTAATGTAAAAGTAGTAGTTGCAACTACTATAAAGGGTTGGAGAGTTATAAGATATTGGATCCATGCCTTGCCTTGTGTTGTCTCGTGACCCGTCAAAACCGCGGTCCACTAAAGCGCGCCCGATCAAAGCGCGTATGTGACGTCATCAGCAGCGCGACAAATAAAATTAAAATAAAATTAAATTAAAATTAAAATAAAATTAAAGCAAGCCGATTCACATAAAGGTAAGGGTTAGGGTTAGGGTTAGGTTAAGGGTTAGGGTTAGGTTTAGGGTTACGTTAAGCGTTAGGGTTAGGTTTAGGGTTAGATTAAGGGTTAGGGTTAGGTT